ATAAAGAAAAAGATAAAGATAAAGATAAAGAAAAAGATAAAGAAAAAGATAAAGATAAAGATAAAGAAAAAGAAAAAGATAAAGATAAAGAAAAAGATAAAGATAAAGAAAAAGAAAAAGATAAAGATAAAGAAAAAGATAAAGATAAAGAAAAAGAAAAAGATAGAGAAAAAGAAAAAGAAAAAGAAAAAGATAAAGAAAAAGATAAAGATAAAGAAAAAGATAAAGATAAAGATAAAGAAAAAGATAAAGAAAAAGAAAAGATAAAGAAAAAAGAAAAAGATAAAGAAAAAGATAAAGAAAAGATAAAGATAAAGAAAAAGATAAAGATAAAGATAAAGAAAAAGATAAAGATAAAGAAAAAGATAAAGATAAAGAAAAAGATAAAGATAAAGAAAAAGATAAAGATAAAGATAAAGATAAAGATAAAGATAAAGAAAAAGATAAAGATAAAGAAAAAGATAAAGATAAAGAAAAAGATAAAGATAAAGAAAAAGATAAAGATAAAGAAAAAGATAAAGATAAAGAAAAAGAAAAAGAAAAAGAAAAAGATAAAGAAAAAGAAAAAGATAAAGATAAAGATAAAGAAAAAGATAAAGAAAAAGATAAAGATAAAGATAAAGAAAAAGATAAGATAAAGAAAAAGATAAAGATAAAGAAAAAGATAAAGAAAAAGAAAAGATAAAGATAAAGAAAAAGAAAAAGATAAAGAAAAAGATAAAGAAAAAGATAAAGTAAAGAAAAAGATAAAAAAAGAAAAAAAAGATAAAGAAAAAGAAAAAGATAAAGAAAAGATAAAGAAAAGATAAAGAAAAGATAAAGATAAAGATAAGAAAAAGAAAAAGATAAAGAAAAGATAAAGAAAAGATAAAGATAAAGAAAAAGAAAAAGAAAAGATAAAGATAAAGATAAAGAAAAAGAAAAGATAAAGAAAAAGATAAAGAAAAAGATAAAGAAAAAGAAAAAGATAAAGATAAAGATAAAGAAAAAGATAAAGATAAAGATAAAGAAACAGGTGTATTTAATGACACGTCACCGACCTTTAGAGTCTTCTGCAGAATGCAGAAACACAACAATGAGCAGGATGAGGAGCAGCTGCAGACTGCAGCACTGACCTTGGTCTGATGCGGATCTCAGGTTCGAGCTGCTCGTCATGGTAAACAAAAGCCAGGGGGGTTTCTTCTTCTACGGTGACACATTAAGCCCTCCCAAAACTGGACCTGTTTCTGGTTGGATGTCGGGAAAGTGACCGAGCTGAGTGAGGACAATGAAGACGAGGTACCGATGCTCCTCCAGCTCCAGGCTCGTCCCGTGTCCTCCTTCTTTCAGCCCGGAGAGGAGAAGGTCTCCTCGTCCCCGTCTCCGCACACCCTCCGCGCTACGCCATTTGGTTCTGTTACTACGAGAAAACGGAAGAGTGCGAATTGCACGAAGGACCTGTCAATCACAATGAGAGCCCGCCCCGAAGTGCTTCTTCTGCTTTAATCAATCAGCGTTTCGGTAGTTTCACGAAAATAAAAATGAACGAAAACGATTAATTAATTAACAAGATATTCTTTGTAAAAGTTATTGTTAACCAATGAACACAAATTAAAATTATTACCTTTGAATATCAGAATACGTTAAAGTTATTCTTATTTTTAAATGAACATTTTAATGTTTATATTACGGTTTTTAGTATTAATAATTATTTTTTATTATCATTATTTTTTTTTTCTGTCTGTATTACGTGATTGTAAACTGCTTGTATACATTTACTTTTTAAATATTTTAAACATTATTTTGTGTTTTATTAACATTTAACAAATACAATTAATTTATTATTTTATTTATTTTCTTTTATATCCTCCATCTTTTACTTTATTGAAATAATTTTTAATTTTTAATCAACATTTGTCACTCTTCGCTCACTCTTGAACTGTCTGAAAGGTTCTTTATAAATAAAGTTTGATTGATTGATAAAATATTGATTTATATTTACTTTAGCTTTTTTAGTTCTTTTCTAGTCTTCTGACTCAAAGCTCTTTTACACCGCAGGTCACACCTACACATTCACACACTGATGGTAGAGGCTGCTGAGTAAAGAGTCCATCAGTATTAACTCATCCATTCACACGCTGATGGTAGAGGCCGCTGAGTAAAGAGTCCATCAGTATTAACTCATCCATTCACACACTGATGGTAGAGGCCGCTGAGTAAAGAGTCCATCAGTATTAACTCATCCATTCACACACTGATGGTAGAGGCCGCTGAGTAAAGAGTCCATCAGTATTAACTCATCCATTCATACACCGCTGATGAAGCAGTGGGAGCAACTTGGGGTGAAGTGTCTTGCTAAAGGACACATAGTGACATGTTGCTGGGGATCGAACCCCCTGACCCTCCAGTGAGCTTCGAGTCGTAAGGAGAATGTTTGACTTTGTGCTCCTGCTGTGTTTAATCCCACAGTAAGATTCCTCGTGCTAACTTCCACTTTAAACAACACAGAGACACACAGGAAGCATGGCACTTGTATTTATTCAAATCAAAATCATGAATCACTGATAAATACCGGACCGACATCACAGAACATGTGAATCAGAAACGGATTGATCATAATGATTAATAAAATGTTCACGTTGTGTTTCCTGCACTCGGCTGCTGGAGGGCGTTCTCGTAATGATTTCACAAACTCACACTAAAGATGCTCGAGTGTCCGATCCATCGCACTGCACAGGAAATAAATCATTAATTCATTAGGTTCTCTTTCTGGGACTTTTTAGTAAGAGATAAAGATTCATATATTTAAATGCTGAGCGGTGTGTAAATCAACAAACAGAGGGGGGGGGGGGGGGGGAGTTCATGATGAGTCTACCTGGTTTCAGTCTACAAACTGGTCCACAGCCCGCCCCCCTCACACCACCTGGCATTGGTAGCTTTTACTCTATCAAGACTAAAACTAACTCAAACACTTTTTAAAAGACGAGCGGAAGAAGACGAGTACTACCCAAAGTGAGAGCAGCTTCTTGAATGATTAGTTCTATAAATATCCCATCAGACACACACAGGATCTAACAGGACCCGGGTGGTTACTGCTGTTCCTCGCTTTGGTTAAAGTCTGACATGTGACACAGGTCATTACGATCCATTGGCAGTAGCTAGGTTAACCCATACGAAAAAGAAAAACACAGACATGGTCAGAGGTTCACTGTTGGGATAATAACTTAGAAAAAGGAATTTAAAGTTGTGGCACTTCAGTGAGAAAACACAAACGTGTGGATCGCGTGCTGATTTGCTTTAAAGGACGGACTGACTCGAGTCAGCCGGTCCTGTTAGCGTTAGAAACACTTTGAACTGTTGCATATTCCAACAGACAGACACCGTGGTACACAATGAGTAAACTTAAGGTGCTTTCACACGTGCACAAAACTCCTGAAAACTTCCTAAAATGTTTCAGCTGGAGCTGCATGTGAGAATGCAAACAGCTGATTATTACCAATAAACCCAGAATGTTTCCTGCCAGGCCCCTCCTACATTTTCTGCATGATGTCAGAATGCAGCAGGAGCGAGCGGGGAGGGGGGTGACGGTTTGCACGCGGCCGGTGTTTTCAAACTGCTGCATATGTTTTCTGTTTAAGTTTTCCTCCGCTCTTCAGTCGATATTGTGAATGTTTTAAACTACACCTAGCGTTTATTTATAGAAAAGCAAAAAACTGTTCTGTGTTGGATTCTTTCGATTCGTCTGCCATTGTTCTCCTGAGACCCCCCCCCCCCCCCCAGTCTGACAGGGACCATCTCAGGAAGACTTTAGGGGTAGTCTGCACATTTTTTTAGAAGCTTTCAGGAGTGCACGTGTGAAAACAGTGTTAGAATAAACTTACTCAATGCAATGGCAAAGTGTTATCGTACCGCTCTTTAAAAATCATGTTTGATGAGAAAAAGTGGAACAGCAGTGAAGCTAACTCCTCTAACGATCTAATCAACAATGTTCCATTACAGGGGAAACAAACACAGAGTGACATTGCATAAAAAGAACTCAAGGCACGCAACGTTTCCCTTTGTTTACGGAGCCTTGCAGAGGCAGAACTTTATGACGGTGTCTACCAGAGGGTGCTTGGCCTGGCAGCGTGATCTCGTAGTGTGGGGTCACAGCAGCCTGCAGGAGGAGCTGGATGAGGTCGTGTCCTGACGTCGACGGACATGTTGAAGCAAAGAAATTAAATAAAAATAAATCACATCTAGTGCAGGAAGCGGATGCTCATTTTCTGTTCCACGTCCACCTTCTCTAAGACCTGAGGAAAGAATCCAGAGAGGAGGAGGTTAGAGGTGAAGAATAACTGCTCTCAGACGAGGTCATGTGATGAGTAACAGACGCAACGAGAGAGTCAAGTAAGCGACCAGTGATCCAGTAACTGCATTCTGTTAAGTATCAGCAACACTAACAAACATCTAGGAGGGGGCAACATCAGAATACTCAGCTCTTTAATATCGTTACTCTTAAAAACAACACCATCTGTGATTTATATCTGCTGATATATTGGTGACAGCAGTGTTTAGGACTCTCTTGACACATTTTGGAATGCACATTTTATTTTTTTAACAGATCAATAGAACACTGAAACATGTTTACTACCCTCTGAAGTCACTCAGGACAAAAATGTCCACTTACAAAAAAACTGATATAAAAATAGATTGATATTTTTTTCTACATAAATCTCTTAAACAACTTCAGCCCTGCTCAAAACTACCAAACATTCAATCCTTTTTAGGAATTTAACCCTTTAAATGCCAGAATCATGTCATCAAACTGGCATTTAAAGGGTTAAATTCCTGATAATTATTCAATATTTTTGAGCAGGTCTGGAGTTGTTTAAGAGATTTATGCAAAAAAAGGAAAAAATAAATATCAATCTGTTCTATTTTTATAGCAGTTTTTTGGCATGGACCTTTCTGTCCTTAGTGACTAAAGAGGGTAGTAAATGAATCTGATGCCTGAGGGTTAATACTCAAACAGGTTTACGGCTGAAGAACGAGCTCTGGGGGTTTAGTCACTCTAGAAACTTGTTCAGAGAGAAATCATTGAAGGCAGCATCACTAAGAGTTGTTAACACCGTGTGTCTGAGAACAGAACTTGCCTTGATGAATTCGTTGAAGGAGATGGAGTTGTCTCCGTTGGTGTCGGCCTCCTGAATGGTTCGATCAGCGATGCTGCCCAGCTGTTCGTCTGAAATGTTTACACCAACCATCATCCGCAAGACCTGAGAAGAGAGAGAGCACAAAGTCCCCACATAGTTCATGAGCAGCAGTGAGCAACACTTCCTGGAAAATATGAAATAATAAGTTTGACCCCTAAAGGATGAAGGTCACTCGTCTTTAACTCAACGTCAGGTAATGAGTCGCTGTCACAGGGTAATGAGAGGATGATAAACACAGTAAAGAGATCATTATGAAGCTGCTGATTCACAGTGAGGGAGGCTTGGGTGTCTCAGGAGGCAGACTGAATGTTTAGCACTAAACAAGAGATCAGTCTTGAGTCATTTAACCTCCAGCTCAGAGCAGGTCACACAAAGTCAGCCGACCACACACGGCTTCACAACAAACAACAGACAGGACTAAATACAGGATATCACAGCGTCTTATGAAACCTGTACTTGAGGTGACATATCTCATTATTATATCAGCACGAGGGCAAAGTCTCGTCATGGACACAGAAATCTCTCCCTCTCTCTGCTGAGCGTTTTAACGGATGTTATGAAACAGCTTCTGCTTCTCTGATAAAAGGGGATTTCTGGGATTTCATAACTTTTTCTTCTTCAGTCTATTTAAACTTTTTTTTAGGTCCAAATGAGTGACTGTTTGTAGACTAACAATCTGAGTGTAGCAGCAGTAGAAACAGACTTTTTCACTCATGAAAATCAGAATCACAATCAGATTTATTGTCCAGGTATGTTTACACACACAAGGAATTTAACTTCAGTGAACTGTGCTCTCTTATGTACAGGTACAACATTAAAAATCAACAATAAACAGAATAAGAAAAGACTAATATTTACATAAATATGAAACAGTGCAGTGGTGAATAGTGCAAAAAGACGCTGAAGTAACATGATGAGTAAAATGCAGTTATGTGACAGATGGGTCAATTAAGATGTCAATTACAGTATTTACATAAATAAGAGTGCTTATATTATCATTTAAAATAAATTATATATATATATATAATATATATTCACAGTGATGGTTGATTTAGAGTTTAAATGTCATCCAGAAACCATCAGCTGTTTGCACACACTGCACCGTGACTCAGCGTCTACATGATGATCTGCTCACCTGCAGCAGCTCATCCCGAGAGATTTTGTCATCTCTGTCCAGGTCATACAGGCGGAAAGCAACTGCAGGAATGAAGAAGAAGTCATAAGGGGCAGAGAGAGTTCACTCTTTAACAGCTGTCATGATGAGTCACCAGCCCCCCCCTCCCCCCCCGTGTCACCGAGCGTCCACACTCACAGAGCAGCTTGTTCGTCCTGCTGTTGAGCGGCTCGCTGACGACGGCGTTCTTGTTCTTCTCGTTGTCCTCGATGGGTCTGAAGTGAGCCAGGGTCCGCATGAAGCCCCTGAAGTTCACCTGGTCCTCTCTGAGAGGAAACAGAACAAAAAGAGGATTTACTCTCTGGCTCAGATTACCTTCAGTCTTTAGAAAACTGAAGCTGTGTGAACAACACAATGAAAACTGGTCGTAACGTAACACGGTTTGAAAGAAGCTAACGCTCTCTCCTCAAAATGTTTCAGAGAAGAAAACCAAAGCAGCATCGAGAACGCCTTCAAATCCACGGCTGACATTAAAACGCCTACACACATACTGTTCTGGACTTTAATGATACAGCTGAGAACATCTGGTTTTATACTTTCAGACTGACAGAAACATCATGCAGCGCTCCGTCTGACTTTATCAAACACAGAACTGGAAGAAGCAGAAGAAGAAGCAAAAGCAGAGTCTCTGCAGTCTGCAGCTCCAAGGCTGCGGTGGCTTTGTCCGGCTCGGCGGTGGTCGTGACTCTAACCGATAATAAACACTTGTGAGAAATAAATCTCCTCAGACAGCAGAGTCATAACAGGAAGAACTCACCCCTCAGGGAAGAAGGCATTGATTATTCTGTCTCCCAGCGGATTGATGGCCAACTCCGGGATCCTCTGGAAATCTTCTCGACTGCAACCAGGAGAGGATGTGATCAAAACTCACTTCAAAACAGCAAATACTCACAAATGACATGCTTTTATTTTGAAATCTCAATTCACACATCCTAAAGGATAATTTGGGTATTTTTACACCTAGGCAACGATTTATATATTTGAATCCCTGAATGACTAATAGGTGGAGATGATACAGATAATACGATACGTACAATGACACTGAGATCGCTGGGGACGGTTTCAGAACATGTAGCTTAGCATTAGCTTTAATATCCACATTTGCTCACATAATCCTGAGAAAGGGTCTGATCACTGTCTCAATCCCGAACACCTGAGTGAGTGCAGACGGGCTTTAAAAGCCAAAACATCTGTTACACTCCTCTCTTCAGAACCAACCCACTCCTAAAACAGATCCTTTGACCTCCCAGAGCTCAGAGGACTTTCTGCTCCTCCGCTGTACTAAAGACCATATTGGATTTTATCTGAACACCAAAGTGACATTGGAGAGAGCTCAGTGTGAAATCTTTCTGTTGTGGAAACTCATGACTGATCAGAAGGTCACCTTGGAGGTGAAGACGTGTGTGCAGGAGTGTGTGAAGAAGGAACAGGCAGAACCAAAAGCTTATTATGAGTAAACACGTCTTTCACATTTGCCCCTCCAGAGGAAAAGATCTGCAAACACACCGAGCTTCAACGTGTCGTCAGCTGGAATGATTAGCCAACTGTTTCTTCAGAAGTTAATCCCAAACAGAGAACAGTCACTCTACATAAACTCTGAACCTCTCTGTGCTCAGAGCAAAGATATCTGATTGTGAATCAAGCAGACCAATTTCCAGATTTGATCCGCACCGGGACTTGAACCGGAGACCCTCCAGCACCTAACCCAAGTCCGTACAGACTGATGAGGCTGTAGGACGGCGCTCTGAGGATCATCACTGTTTGTTGAACGTGTTGGATGGTCGTCTTTGTCCACACGTAGACTTTAAACACCCGGAGTATTCTTATCTTTAAATCTATCTATCTAACAGGAACTTATCATTTTCAGTTCCAGGAACTTCTCTTAGCGTCTCTTTCAAAGGTCAGAGCTGAACTGAGGGGAAAGGCCGTTTCACTTTACTGCTCCCTTTGCTCAGAACTAATAAGAGTGGTGCAGTAACGAGTCCTGAAACCAGGAAATGAATCCGTACTTTAGCCCCTCTGACTCCATCGTCTTAAAGTAGAATTGATTTATCACGAGATTACGATTACATGGCTGAAATAAGTTCTTCTTCTCGAGCACTATTCAGAGAACTGTTTCAAGCCACCCCCCTTCTGTACCGTCTTCAGAGGCGTTACAGAGGAGAGCCGGGATCAGCTGAGTCAGCAGGGGAGAACAGCGCTGTGTGTGTGTGTGTGTGGGTGTGTGTGTGTGTCGCAGAATCGACATGAACATACAAAGACGTGATGACGGCTGAGTTTAGTAACAGCGACAGTTCATTTTCCTGCTGTCCGTCTCATTTCTGGTTAAATGGTAATTCTGCGAGGGAAACTTTTCTCTACATGTCTGTGTTTGCAAAAGGACAAATGTCTCAGCAGCCAATCAGTTCTCCAGGTGAGACCGAGTCCTCACACGTCAGATTTCCTGGCAGGTAAACTCCCAACATTGATGTTTTAGTTACTGTCATAATGTGCTCTGTGTTATGACATACCTGAGGGTGCCGTTTTCCCCTTTATCCAGGCTGGTGAAGCGGCTGTACAGACGGGTGATCTGACTGTGAGAGACTGACACAAAAACATTTCACCGTCAGACGAGCACAAAAAGACATCACAACTTCACACTTTATAACTCTTCACCTAAATACACAGCTAACCGTCATCTCCAGATGTTGACATGTGTCGGGATGTAACCCGGGAACACAGCCAAGAAATAAAAGTATTAATCATTGAAATAATAACAAGAGGACACATGGAAATACTAATGATAATAATGAACATAAATATTCATTATTTAAGTCTAAAAATAAGTTGGATAAACACAGATGAATATTACACAGGAAGTGATTTATTAGGGTTAGAGAGCATCTCCACCCACAAGGCCCAGAGAGCATCTCCACCCACAAGGCCCAGAGAGCATCTCCACCCTCAAGGCCCAGAGAGCATCTCCACCCACAAGGCCCAGGAACTTAATATTAAAATAAATAAATAATTAATGTGAGAAATAACATGAACAGGAACTTAATATTAAAATAAATAAATTATTAATGTGAGAAATAACATGAACAGGAACTTAATATTAAAATAAATAAATTATTAATGTGAGAAATAACATGAACAGAAACTTAATATTAAAATAAATATATTATTAATGTGAGAAATAACATGAACAGAAACTTAATATTAAAATAAATAAATATTATTAATGTGAGAAATAACATGAACAGAAACTTAATATTAAAATAAATATATTATTAATGTGAGAAATAACATGAACAGAAACTTAATATTAAAATAAATATATTATTAATGTGAGAAATAACATGAACAGAAACTTGATATTAAAATAAATAAATAATTAATGTGAGAAATAACATGAACAGGAACTTGATATTAAAATAAATAAATAATTAATGTGAGAAATAACATGAACAGGAACTTAATATTAAAATAAATAAATTATTAATGTGAGAAATAACATGAACAGGAACTTAATACTAAAATAAATAAATAATTAATGTGAGAAATAACATGAACAGAAACTTAATATTAAAATAAATATATTATTAATGTGAGAAATAACATGAACAGGAACTTAATATTAAAATAAATATATTATTAATGTGAGAAATAACATGAACAGGAACTTAATATTAAAATAAATATATTATTAATGTGAGAAATAACATGAACAGAAACTTAATATTAAAATAAATATATTATTAATGTGAGAAATAACATGAACAGGAACTTAATATTAAAATAAATATATTATTAATGTGAGAAATAACATGAACAGGAACTTAATATTAAAATAAATATATTATTAATGTGAGAAATAACATGAACAGAAACTTAATATTAAAATAAATATATTATTAATGTGAGAAATAACATGAACAGGAACTTAATATTAAAATAAATATATTATTAATGTGAGAAATAACATGAACAGAAACTTAATATTAAAATAAATATATTATTAATGTGATCTGAACTTACAGCCAGTCTCCTTCTTTATTTCTTCAATCTCTTCTTCTCGGAGTAACGTGGACGCTCTGGAGCCCATGGTGAACAGGTAAGTCTGGTGAACAGGTAAGTCTGGTGAACAGGTAAGTCTGGTGAACAGGTAAGTCTGGTGAACAGGTAAGTCTGGTGAACAGGTAAGGCTGGTGAACAGGTAAGTCTGGTGAACAGGTAAGTTTAATGAACAGCTAAGTCTGGTGAACAGGTAAGTCTGGTGAACAGGTAAGTCTGGTGAACAGGTAAGTCTGGTGAACAGGTAAGGCTGGTGAACAGGTAAGTCTGGTGAACAGGTAAGTTTAATGAACAGCTAAGTCTGGTGAACAGGTAAGTCTGGTGAACAGGTAAGTCTGGTGAACAGGTAAGTCTGGTGAACAGGTAAGTCTGGTGAACAGGTAAGTTTAATGAACAGGTAAGTCTGGTGAACAGGTAAGTCTGGTGAACAGGTAAGTCTGGTGAACAGGTAAGTCTGGTGAACCAGCAGCGCCGTTATCCGTCTCGCGCAGCCCGAACCAGCCGAGTTAGCAAACAAGCTAACGCAGCGAGCTAACTCGTTCTCGTCGTTTTACGGTGAAAGTCGTTTCGAGTTCAATCCAAACGGTTGTTTTGAGTCCTCGTGTCGTCGTAGCTCTCCGGTTCTTAACAAATCCTTCCCGTGTTCGGTCCAGATTTCATGTTAACGTGACTGAGTTTCGGTCAGGTTAGCTTCCTTCTTTAAGAGGAGGCAGGTACTGAACGAAGTCGCCTCCCTAGTAGGCGGGTCCTCACAGAAGAGGGTAGCGAGGTTTGTTGCCTGGTTAAAATTCGATGTCAGTGTGTCGTATAAATACATTTTAATATTTAAATATATACAATGTCATTTGTTATGTAAAACCAAGAAAACTGACTCGAAATCACTTAACAAAAGAAAGCTACTGAACGTAGTTTACTGTTAATTTATTCCCTGTAGTTATGCTATGAGAAATCTGCGGAGTGGTGGGGGGGGGGGGGGGGGATCATCCTGTCAGGGGGACCAACTAACCCGTGACACCCGGTCAGACGGTGAGATCAAATTATGTTGAAATTATAGAAAAATAAAGGCAATAAAAACATGAATATCAAATCTTTAGAGGATACTAACGAAATTAACAATTAAATATAATATTAAGACGTCTATCTTAATGCTCTGATACAATTCGTATCTATGTTTTCCTTCAAAATAATCAAATGAATTCACAAATGTATCCTTAAAAAAAATCCATATTTACAATGTAAAAGATTATTTTAAAATAACTGTATGGAGGTAAAACACCCCTTCCTGTTTCTAAAGCTTTTCGTGCTCTTAAAAGTAATATGCAGGTAAATTTAAAATGTTCTACTTGTTTTATAAATTGGTCCACACTTCTTCCTGCACCACCTGCTGGACAGACAGCGGAGCACCTTCTCCACCAGGCCGGTTCAGCTCTGCTGTCACCAGGACAGACACATGAAATCTGTCTTTTACATACCTGTTCTGCTCCTGTAAAGTTAGTACATTATCCTTCAACATTAAATGTTCACTTGATAAGTGTATCTGCTCATTAGAAGATCTGTGCGCACAGCTCGATTCCGCTATAATGTTGTTATTATTACGTTACACGTAGGACAGACATACGCCACTAGATGTCGCACTTTCATTATTTATTGTGGGCTGATATGATTTTGCATAGATAAAAATGTTGATACAGCTTGCTCAGGTTTTCTGGATAACAACCATCAGTAGCTCAGTCTGGAGGGACTGGAGGGACTGGAGGGACTGGAGGGACTGGAGGGTCTGGAGGGTCGTCGGTTCTGCGGACCGAGTCTTGAGATTGCACTGGTAGCTGGGAAGGTGCCAGTTCTCTTCCTGAGCACTGCCAAGGTGGCAAGGCCCCAACTTACATTTGAAACTGAGCATGGTGCATTACATTTAACATTAATCCCTGAGGGGACATTCTGGCTTCTCACACACATAAACCCGAAATACACACATGCACTAACAGGACCTGTGGACATGAGTGGAGAGATGTCACAGTGAGGGCAAAGTAGGAGGCCTTGCTCATGACTTCCTAAGCAGTACTCAAAAATTCACCTGGCACCCGACCTACTTCATACCTTGGACCATTACGGGACTCAAACCAGCAACCCTCCAGTTCACAACCCAAGTCCCTACAGCAGTGGTTACCGCCCTTAATTATCTCATGATCCCACTTGGACTTCACCAAACTCTGACGACCCCACACATCCAAAACCTAACCCCATCACCTTTATAAGGAGAAAAACAGCTCCAGTTAAATCTGCACACCAGATCAAAAAAGCAATACGAGTCATTTTCAGAGTTTTGGTTGATTTATTTAGGATTTTAAGATCCCTGTTACTACATGTCTTGAGGTTTCAGAAAACATTCTCTGTTCAGTAGTTTGTCCTTCACATGTGCATGAAACACGTAAAGCTGAGAGCAAACCAAATGTTCAACAGTCCATGCAATCATTGTGTCCTCAAAACAATCAGAAGCAGTTAAATATCCAACAATCTTCACAGCAAGAGTGCATCTCATCATAAAACAAGTTTAAAATTCTCAAGTAAAAAAAAAAAAAAAAAAGTGTTAGTGTGTTGATAAAATAATGATACGGTCAACTCCATGTCAGATTGATTCCTAAGCAGTGCAAAGAGAAGCTGGTCGTCTTCTGGGCCTTCCACGCAGGAAGACGTTTGGTTTGAGATTTTTCATTGGTTTGCAGAAAGTCCTTTACTCTCTGAAGTGACACGTGGCGTCCATGGCCGTCTGGATGCTGCGCGGGAAAACACGATGAAGAATGTATGAGGTATCAGACAACAACGATAAAAAACATTATCAAAGATTAATGAAGCGAACATGAAATCTTCAATAACCAACATTAAAACATATTCAGTTTAAAGGAGCAGTATGTAACTCTGACCCCTAGTGGTTAAAATGGGTACTGCAGTCTAAATTCTAAACATCATAGAGATCTGTCCCCCCCCTCTCTAGACTCGATGCTCACTCAGGTCACCATGTGGTGGACTCTGAAGCTTCAGTGTTTATCCAGCTCTGCATGGGTCTGTAAACCTTTCTGTGTTCTAACCTCTCTCCATTTTTCAAAAGCATCTCCAATATTGATCCTAGTTTGAGCACGTTTCTGCTCGTGGAGCTTATTAGAAACATGCAGAGGCTTTTTAGGTCGGGTACAATCACTTCTATCTGAACCACTTCTCTTGACCGCTTCCATCTCTGCAACACCTGTTGACCTGATAACTGCTCTCATATCTGACAAACCGAGGGGTGTCCAAAACGGCCATGTGGGGGCGTGTCTTAAAAGCGCCTACCTTCTCTGGTCCAAACAAATCCAGAGCATTCAGGAGCAGAATCTAAAGTTAGAAGGAGGACATACTGGCTGCTGCATTGTTGTCAGAGAAGCCAGCACTTCAACATAGCATGTTTCCTTAATGATCAGAGAGTAAGATACCTTTATCATTTACCTCTTTAAGAGGAACGATGGAGCCTTTATTGGGGACTATTTTCAGCTGCGTATTTATACCTGCTGTGAGTTTGGGCGACTGAGTCAAAACTGAGCTACAGAAAGTTGTTTAGCCTAATGTGGATTAAATATAACAAGTGAAATCTATTGAATAATAAAGAGGAAAACCACACGGAGGTGACGTCTCACATCCTGTTATTAACTAAGAGTGATCACACAGACAGGCAGACAGACAGACAGGTAGGTGTGGAGCAGTGAGCAGGACGTACCTGTCTGCAGAGTATCCTCTCTCACACAGGTTGACCAGAGCGTACAGATGTCTCAGAGCGTACTCGTACTGAAACACAAAGAGGACAGAAACATGAGTCACACGTGTTCCACAGTCTGTCACTGTAAATGTCAACAACCCTGTTTATTTCCTCTGGGCTGTTTGGGGGATTTTCAAAATGTCAAACAGCTGATCAAAGTACCGGGGAAATATTTAACAAGTCTTCACTGGTATTAGAAGATAAAAACCCCATCTGAATATAACTTAATGCTTTCATTTAAACACATGTTCTCGTTCAGAGCTGCAGGAAACCACCACCTTTCTGAGGTTTAGTACGGCCATCCAACATCCTAACATTATGTCTGTATTTAAAGACGGATCAACACAACTGATCTCCTCTGGGGCGGCTGAGCCTCAGTGGTAGAGTTGGTCGTCTCTCAACTGGGAGGTCAGGGGTTCAATCCCCAGCTCCTGCAGCCACATGTCTGATGTGTCCTTGGGCAAGACACTTAACCCCAAGTTGCTCCCACTGCTTCATCATCAGTGTCTGAATGTGTATGAATGGATGAGTTAATACTGACGGACTCTTTACTCAGCAGCCTCTACCATCAGTGTGTGAATGTGTGTGAATGGATGAGTTAATACTGATGGACTCTTTACTCAGCAGCCTCTACCATCAGTGTGTGAATGTGTATGAATGGATGAGTTAATACTGACGGACTCTCAGCAGCCTCTACCATCAGTGTGTGAATGGATGAGTTAATACTGATGGACTCTTTACTCAGCGGCCTCTACCATCAGTGTGTGAATGGATGAGTTAATACTGACGGACTCTCAGCGGCCTCTACCATCAGTGTGTGAATGGATGATTATACTGATGGACTCTTTACTCAGCGGCCTCTACCATCAGTGTGTGAATGGATGAGTTAATACTGACGGACTCTCAGCGGCCTCTACCATCAGTGTGTGAATGGATGAGTTAATACTGATGGACTCTTTACTCAGCAGCCTCTACCATCAGTGTGTGAATGGATGAGTTAATACTGATGGACTCTTTACTCAGCAGCCTCTACCATCAGTGTGTGAATGGATGAGTTAATACTGACGGACTCTCAGCGGCCTCTACCATCAGTGTGTGAATGGATGAGTTAATACTGATGGACTCTTTACTCAGCGGCCTCTACCATCAGTGTGTGAATGGATGAGTTAATACTGACGGACTCTCAGCGGCCTCTACCATCAGTGTGTGAATGGATGAGTTAATACTGATGGACTCTTTACTCAGCAGCCTCTACCATCAGTGTGTGAATGGATGAGTTAATACTGATGGACTCTTTACTCAGCAGCCTCTACCATCAGTGTGTGGATGTGTAGGTGTGACCTGTGCTGTTAAAGAGCTGAGTAGTAAGAAGACTAGAAAATAACTTTGCAAGCTCAAGTCCATTTATCATCTCCTTTAAAGAGTGTAAACTGTTTAATGATTTGCATCAGTTAATCTAACACTCGTCTAAAAAGGAAGCTGATGTGTTCAGACACAGCTTGGAAAAAAAAAAAAAACGGGGTTTCCCCAAAGACCAGATATAAAAGATTATTCCGTCCTCGGCCTGGATTACAGTAATTTCATTTAAAGATGCAAAGTCATAAACTAATACCGACATTTACAGCATGTGAAACTGATCTTCCTCTTTATAAGCAGAACCAAAAACTGACATGTGTCTTAGTTTCAACCATTAAGCACAGATGTTTCCTGTCAGATCTGTGACTAATCTAAGGAAACAAAAGCACCTTTCCTCCAGCAGAGTTTTGTGTGTTTTTGTTCTGTGTGTGTGTTATACCTTGGTTTTGTGCCAGTTGAAACAGGTGTATTTGTAGTGGGTCATTGCAGCCTTGTAGCATTTATACTGGCTGAGTTCAGCGTGCTCGTTCAGAACCTCCTCGCTCCTCAGCCGGTCACCGGTCACCATGTCGACTATTTTGCGCATTGTGGCAGCGAGCATCTCTCTGACCTGAACACACACACATTGAAATCTGTAACATGAGAGTCGTCACGGGGAATCCTCGATTTGTGCAGGTAAGACTTCCTGGATTTGTGCAGGTAAGGCGCTTTTAGAAGTCGGTCTGTACCTTCAGGTGGGCGTCGATCTCCCCCAGAAGCCCCCGTGCCACTCTGATGTCGTTGGACTTCATCATCTTCCTCTTGAGGATGGCCAGGGGGACGTCGGGGCTCGGGGTCAGGTCGGGGTTTTCAATGGGCTGCAGTTTCAGAGGACGAGCGGGCGGGCTGGTGGCCTTGGGGTTACCCTGAAACGCTATGACCTTCATGTGAGCCA